AGATAGATAGATAGATAGATAGATAGATAGATAGATAGATAGATAGATAGATAGAGATAGAGATAGAGATAGAGATAGAGATAGAGATAGAGAGATAGACAGACAGACAGACAGACAGACAGACAGACAGACAGACAGATAGATAGATAAGAAAGGGAACTAAAGATTAAGGGGAGAGGGACTTTATCTGGACCAGGTTATTTTACCAAGAATTTTTGGAAGCAGATTACATTATGAATAATAATAGCACCAGAAGCATTTTCATTGCCTCCGTTTACTGTCTGTTACTCTCCCTGCTCTACACAAGTATAAAATCGAGACATTGGAGGCGGATTCCACTTTAAGCTGAGCTACAACTTTGTGTGAGTGAAACAAGATCGTAATGCATCTGTTTCTAATCTCTCAACGGACGGTTTTAGAATTCTGAACCTATCTTATTATAGCCAATCTATCGCTGTTAAACTTCCAGCCAAGCATTGAAATGAGGACACCCACTCACCGAGGGAGACATCCTAAAACAATTTCAATCTCATGACCTTAAATGGATTTAATTCTTTGCCATGTCTTGGGCGGGTGGGGGTTTGAGCCTTCCAAGACAATCTGTTTATTTCAGATTAGCCAAATCCCACTTGCATTTAGCCGTGGCGATCCACCAAATCTTGCCTGTAATTTTACCCAATACACCTTCTCATTTTCCATTACAACACACGCAACACCCAACGCCCACATCATCTCACAGCAAGCAGGAACTTTAGCAGCAGATCCTGTTACGTGCACAAAATTATTTCTCCAGTTATCCAGTTGGCTAGTCTGCATTTCACCTCCATAACTTTCATTATCTTACCAAGAAACTCTCTGCTTAATTTTCTTCTTCGATGCATCTCTGAGCTGATAAATAATCGAGTTAAGCCCCGGGAACGTTTGAGATGCACTTTGGGCGGAATCAGCCAGGTTACAGCTATTTAACACCTTGGCTGAACTCTGTTTTCGGGGGTAACAGGAATATTTATGAGCATTTATTCTTTTATTATATATTTCCCCCATGCTTAAAGCTCTGTTCCAATTCAGAAGCTCTCGTTGAAATGGATCTTTAACATCTATCAAAGAAGAAAAAAGAAGGAACTCAAAGGGAATTCTCTCCGGGTAGATGAAATTGCTTGATGAAGCAGAGAGGGTGAAAAATGTGGGAACTTTCTCCTCCTCCAATTTAGAAGGTGCATTGTGGTTTGGCTGGTGGCAGTCATTTATGGTAGTGAGGTCTACAATACATGGAGCAACCACACGTAAGTGGGTAAATTGGGCAGATCTAGTGTTTTCTATTCTTTTACAGAGTAGGGGATGGATTGCTTCCACTGATGTCTGGAGTTTGAGGAGGGGGGGGAGAAATTGGAGGAGGAGGAGGAGAGGAGGAGGAGCAGGAGGAAAAGAAGGAGGAGGAGGAAGAGAAGGAGGAGGAGAGGAGGATCAGGAGGACAAAGAGGAAGAGGAGAAGAGGAGGAGGAGAAGGAGGAGAAGTAAAAGGAGGAGAAAGGGAGAAAGAGAATGAGGAGG